AGAAAGAACTGGAGAAAAATCACAAAATACAAAGACCTGCAAATAGAAGTAGAACAACTATAGCAAAAGAAAGCAAAGGTAGTACCAATAGTAATAGGCGCCTCGGGTGCAATCCCAAAACATCTGGAGGACCACTTGAACACCGTCAGCATTGACAAAAATCACCATCAGTCAATTGCAAAAGGCAGCTTTTCTTGGAACAGCTTACATCCTGCGACGATACTTTTAACACCATCAAACAACATCTGCCTATCACAGGTCCTTGGGAAAGAATTGATAGGTGGATAAAAATGTCAAATCCAGTCTAAACATCTGGCTGACTGTGTGACCAACCATCATCATCATCATCATCCTATTATCCCAGGTCCTTGGGAAGGACTCGATAGGTGGACCAAAATGCCAAATCCAGTCTAAAATTTTGGCTGACTGTGCAATCAACAATAATAATGTGTTAAACTTATATGCTGTCTGACTCTCAACAACTCTGGGCTGCTCACAACAAAGAAATTACAATAAAATCAATAAAACATAACAAAGATAAAAGATGGCAAGCACGATGAAGTGAAGGGTCTCACTCGCTGAAGGCCTAGGTGAATATTAAGATTTTGTGGGGAGGGGGTGCCTTCAAGTCAGTGTTGACTCCCAGTGACTGCCTGGAGAAGTCTCTGTAGTTTTCTTGGCAAGATTTCAGAAGTGGTTTGCAATTGCCTGCTTCCCAGGGCTGAGAGAGAGGGACTGGCCCAAGGTCACCCAGTTGGTTTCATGCCTAAAGTGGGATCAGGACTCACAGTCTCCCAGTTTCTAGCCTGATGCCTGAAGATTAACAAACTGGAATATGTCAAGAGGAAAACAAAATGATGTTAAGAGGCTTGGAGGCCAAAATGTGATTGAAGAGATCTCGTTTAGTTTTCTTTCAGGAGCTTAATGCAAGCCCTCACCAGTTCTTCTTTCTGGGCTTATCTTAATACTCAAAAGTGCTCTACGCTTTAATTTTAGGAAGCTCGTGATCAAATTCAAGGACTTTGTTCCAGTTACATAAATGTCACTCCACACATGGATAGGCGATCCAGTCAGAAAAACTGGTCCAGCATGTCTGTTTAGTCTTTCCCAGGACTGCCCACTCCCTCCCCTCAAGGACAAAGATTTCATAGTTTGTTTTGCTGAAGGCTGTAATGCTTTTTTTTTAATTTAGAGATGATCAGTTGGCAAAATTCCACTGAAATCAACCACCTCGTGCACCTGTATCTTATCCTCAGGTAGTGACCTGGCCTTTACTCGTTTTGTTTTCTGGCAGGGAGAAACGAAGAGTCATTATCCCCCCTCACCTGGCATATGGCAAGCGAGGCTCCCCACCAGCTATACCAGGTAGGATCCAGTTACCAGCAATTATTTAAAGGCCAGTCAGCAGGAGATATCCAGGGACTTAGCACTTTGTGGACAAGGCTGTCCAACCCTGTTGCTTTGGAATGTGGATTGGACACACTATCTCTAACTGGGCCGGGAAAAAGAGACCAGAAAGGAATTGACTGTGGGCATTTAGGAAGTAATGTTGTAGGGCTGCATCTCTGCCACAGTCTTTACTTTGTAAACAAAGGGTAGGATTTAAGGAAAAAAAGTCATAAAACTCTGGTGAAGAAATGCACAAAAGGATAGCTCAGGAGTATCACTGTTTGCAAACATACAAACTCAAAAACAATACTTCTAGGCTTAGTTTGCCTTGCTGGCACCTGGGGTGGAGATGGGCTGGTATCAGCAGATGAAAGTCACACCTTGTGATATTGCTGTGCAACCTCTTAGCAGCTCCTAGCTGTGCTTCACAGATTTTGTCTCTTTCCAGCTGATGCAGTTCTGCAGTTTGAGGTGGAATTAATCCAGCTCTCCAGAGCCAGTTACTGGCAGAAGATGTTCAGCAATATACTCCCCTTGCTGTGCATTGGGCTTGTCCCAGCATTGCTGGGACTGATTGGCTACCACCTCTACAAGAAGGCCCAGATGCCCCGAATATCCAAGAAGAAACTCAAGGAGGAGAAGAAAAACAAGGCCAAGAAGAAATAAAGTTGTTTCTTATCTTTTTCAGCATTGTTTTCCAGTGGAATATGTGGGGGCTGGGGAATTCTCACACTGTCTTTCTGTCTCTCACACACAGTATCTACACAACTTAATTAGCCATTATGGCTCTTGCACAAAAGGCCAAGGATGGGGAACCAGTTTCCATCATTGTGCAAACCTCTGGTTTGTTGTTCCTCATTTTGTTGCCCTTTAGATGTGAGACCACAACTACAGTTGTTTCTACCCAATCACCATCCTAAGAAGACTTTCTAATCTAATGAAGGCTAATCTAATAGTTTGCACAAGATTTAATCAAGTAAATCATACAGAAGAGTGATTTTTAGTGCTTTTTACATAAAGAGTTGACTTAAACATGTTAATACAAGAGGTGGTCACTGTGAGGGGCATCCATTAATCATATGCCTTTATAGTATAGATTTTACTTATACATTCATACTATAAGATGGTTAAAAATAAGGGAATGTGTTAGCAATTCCTCAGGTATATTTAACAATTCTTTGTACTGCCTGGGAATGACAGGAATTTATCCAAAACATTTAAAGGTACCAGGTAGCCTGACCCCAATTACGCTCCAAACTTACACTGGTCTAATGGCCATTCCATCTCCCAAGAAATTTTGAGAATGAAATATGAGAATGGTGGGAGATTAATAACTGATTCATCAGCATCAAGATATTACTGCTCTGTAGCTGAGATGGCTACAGCAATTACATGGGTATAAATCAAGTGTACGTTTGTAGGATAGGCATAGTCTTAGAATAAAGATCATCCCAACAGCTCACAGGCTATGTGCCCTGGTTGTGAAGGTGTCAAAATAATGTCTTTGTTGGTTTTTCTTTAATAGCTTAGTGGAGTTTCCATCCATGGAGCCTACCTCCCACTTTCTCATGTAGATTGTTCCAAGCTGTTGAAAGGAGAATTTTAAACATACTGTATAACAGGTTTGAAAGGAAGAAGAGGGGACAGCAAGAAAAAAAACTTATAAAACATCCACCCTGCAAAGGTATTTGTTTGGAGAATGAGAGACAGATGTGTGTTTCAAAGCTTACACGTAGGCATGGGGACTGCTCAGTGGGTGTGTCTTCAGCTTCCAATGTACAGGCCTCTGTGGGTTGGCTTGGCCAGGGAAGAAAAAGCTGCAAGACACAGCAGCAGCTGTTTAACTGTTTAATGGCAGTTTGGTGTGCAGAAAAATGTTTCTAAAAAGGGCCCCGCACACATTAACTGGAATGGACTGGCTCTTCATGCCCAGCAGCTGTATTAACACAATGGAAGAGAACACCCTGAAGTCACCAGGTGCTGATTCAGAGGATACGTGAAACTTCGTGTGCTGCCTCTATGATATTATAGATGGGCCGTCTGGCATGGGACTCTCTAGGAGGCACTGGCTGGGACCCATCTGAGACAGCTGAAGGCTGGTTAATTATCATCAGAGGATTGATCTGACTCAGAACTTCATCATTCACTGAGATGCCATCCAAGTACTGCTTGAGCAGATGCTTCAGCTTAAGGTTGTCTTGCATCTGCACTTCTTTAGTCCGCTCTAGTGAGAGCTGTTCCAGCCTCACCTTGTTGTATCTTTGCCAGAAGCGCTCCAGACCCACGTAGTCCTGCATCATCTAGAAAATGTTGAAAATGCCAAAGCCTTGATTGGTTGCAAGGAACGACATCACAACTTATTGAATGAGTGGCCAAGTCTTTGCCCACATAGAAATGCCAGCTTAGGGTGTGCTGTGTGAAACAGGCAATTCCCAAACCAACTCTAAATTGGGAGATGCTTGTGGAGAATATATGGCCACTAGAAAGGTTATAAAGATCACTTCCTTTAGTTGGGTAGCAGCCGAATACCAAAATGAAAAGCTGCACTTCAGTCAAATTTGCCTTTACAGAGAGGATGGCAAAATGCCTTCTGTTAAAAGATGGCAAATATGACAGAGCCAAACTGCACCAAATGCCAATCATGTCATCTGAATCAGACTTTTCCCCTATGAAAAGCCAATTCATAGGTAATGGAGGATCAGGATCAGGAGAGAGGGGTGGGGGTTTAATTTTTTTCTCCTGCCATGGTCTCAAGGAAAATCCCTCCTAGCAGCTGGTGCCAGAGTCAGGACAAATCCCCCTACTGGCACCAATGAGTTTTTGCCTGAACCTTATCATCCCTTCTGGGAGAGGCAGCATTAAATGCCAGCCAATAAACCCTAAAGATGCAGATTAATTTTAATGGATGAAATGGATGATTCCAAACAATAAGCCAAGGAAATACTTCTTCCATTTGCCAACAAAACAGACAAAGGTGTACCCCACCCAATTCTGAATTCAGACTATTCACCTGAGCAAGCGGTTCAACCGGTTTCTCCAAAGCCACCTTATCCACGGTTTTCTGTTCTTCCCAGTTCAGGGAGCTCGGGTAAAACGGTAGCACTTTCTCCTCCTCAGACTCCAGCCTACGGCACATTTCAGCCAGCCGCAGAATCAGCTCTGCCTGCAGGAACAGGAAAGAGTGACTGGATCTGGTTTTCTTCTAGGTTTGGCACAATGTGTTTTCAGAGTGCTGGCTGGAGGTTGAGAGGGTCAATGGAATATCTATAAGGCAGTAATAAATTAAGAATTATAATTCCTAGGATTCTTTAGGCATTGTATCATCTCTTTATCATCTTTCTCTCTCTCTCTTTATTTATCTATCTATATATCTATCTATATCTATTGTCTATCTATCTAGGGGGATCTACGTCCAGTTTGTATCCTCCAGAATGTTCAGGGAGACTGGCAAATGTTAGCCAAATATAAAACAAAGTTTAGATAAAACAACAGCTAATATTATTAATAGAGTCTGTTTGGTGTGGTGGTTCAGGCACCAAGCTAGAAACTGGAAGACTATGAGTTCTAGTCCCATCTTAGGCACAAAGCCAACTGGGTGATCTTACACCAGTCACTTTCTCCCAGCCCTAGGAAGGCAGCAATGGCAACCACTTCTGAAAATCTTGCCAAGAAAACCTCAGGGATTAGCCCAGGTAATCACCAGGAATCAATGCTGAAGGCTAAATATATGATATTATTAATAATCAAATGACCTAGTTCCAGAGAAAGGTCTTGAATTCTTAAAGATGGAGAGTGTAGGTACATTCCCTAGCAGAGGACCAATGCAAGAGAAGGCGTTTCTCAGCGACCCAACAAATGGGCCTCTTAAACCTGGAGCATCCTTAAAGGGTCCCTCCAGCCAGCCAAAATTCCCGGATGGGCTGATATCAAAAATAGGAGTCCCTCAGATAGACTAAGCCAAAAGCAACTTAACATTTTAAAAGTTAAGCCAATACTTTAAATAACACCTGAAAGATGTTCACAATTAGGCTTTCAGAACTGCCACATTTATGGTTTTTCAATTGCTCTTCATTCCAGCAGGGTAGATTTTGGAAAATTGGTGGTGGTGGTGGGGTGCTATCTTTTTGGCTATCCTTCCATAGCTGAAAGTAGCTCCCAAGATGATGATGACAAAATTAGACAACTGCACAATTTTCACACATTAATGCATATTTTCCCTTACATAGAGTTTTAAGATTTCTAAATGGCTTATTTAAAGAGAACATATGTCAATGTGACAAATAAATCTTTGGAAATGCATGCATCACAGACATAGAGAACTAGAAGTGACAGCAGTTTCTTGGCAAGTGGAGAATATGTGACAGGTTTTGTGCTACATAATATCTGGAAAGGTTTTCGACTTTCAAGACAAAGAAGAGATGCTCCAAAGTTTGTCGTCTGCCAATCTCCCACAATCTGAGATCCAACAGACTCTATCAGAGATGACGAGTAAAAATAGCCACATGCCCAAACTTTCCATACAGCCAAGATCTTCATTGCTATTGCTTCTCCATCATCAGCACAGATTCTTCTTTTTGCAAGAATCCTCAGCCATCATTCATTCTCTCTTGTTTGATTAATCCCAGCTAGTTTATTCCCTTTCCCCTTTTCATATTTCGACTTGGAGATGACAATCATGGTATTGTTGTCTATCACCTCCTGAGTGCTGTCTCTTTCATCCAACATGATAAATGTTGCTGGGATTCTGGATGCTGAGAGATGAATGATGGATATTTTAATGGTTTTAGGTGTTACAGTTTTTGTGGGAAGTGTTCCTGGGAGTCTGTGTAAAGTGCTAGCAATATATAAATATTGTAAAAAAAAAAGAACATGCAATAAAAGCCACACTGTTGTTCTCCTAGTGCACAGCCTCTGGGCATTCTTGCATGCACATGTGGACCAAGGGCCTTTCCCTGCTTGCACAAAAATAACTTGGCAATCTCTTTTTTCTGTTATGGCTTTGTGATGTTGCTTTCATCTCATCTCTATCCCATGTGTAAGACAGCCTTAAATTATCCAGAGCTGTACTGATATCACAAGAGTATATTTCCCCTTATTCCAACACTGCCCAAGGGCAACCTCAAGATATGTAAAATTTGGTAGGTTTTTGTCACCCCTATTTGGAGGAAAGGCAGTAGCAGGGAACAGAACTAGGATAGAACAGCAAATGTCATGCCAATATAATTTTCTGCTGACCCCAAGGATGGTGGAGAGTGGGGAAAGGTCCAAGGTACTACCTCTTAATAAATATATAAGTAGAGAAGAAAAACATTGTCATCTACTGTGTCTCCAATGGTCAACTGCTCATGCGCCATATACCTGGCATACAAGAAGAGAAACTAGGGAAGAAAATTCTGATTCCTTCCTACTTTGGAAACATCAGCAGCATGGAAACCCCATCTGAAAAATGGCCTCCACAAAATCAGGAGCAATTCAGGCCAGTCAGATATTATATGGATATGTTAAACAGGTTTTAATATATTTAAACACAGTTTTTACTTCCATCTCTCTTTTAGGAGCCTCTGCGAGGAAACAGTCTCGCACCAAGTAGTCACCAAAGAGCCTACCTTTCCCACCACATGTTCCAAGGCCTTGAGAGTCGCACTGCTTTCCTTCGTCAGCTTAGCCAGATTGCTGCGGGCTTTAGCTCTTGCCCGGTTCATCTGGTACTTTAGCTTCTGCAGCTGTTTCAAAACCACTTCCTTCTCATCACGGACATGCCGATTTTGTTCCTCGCTCTCCCTTGCATGGAGTGTGATCTTGTTCTTCAGACTGCTAATGAGATCCTAGTGACCACAAAGGGGATATTTTCAGGCTACAGGACATTCTTTATAATGTCACAAGAGAGAACAGAGAAAGAAGCAAAAGAATGGAAGAGAGAGAGAAAGAGAACAAAGGATATTCTTACAAGTCTTTGGCTCTATCCTTTGGCTCCAATTCTGGTCACTATTGCTTTGCCTACCACAGGAATGGGATCGCCCACTAGTCCCCCACCACATCCCAAATGCAGGCCTTGATTTAAAAGAAAGATTTTCTACTGGTACTGTAAGCTGAAAAATAGGGCAGCAGTAGGAAGTATAGCTAAATGGCAGTTCTAGATATGCTATCTACTGTTATTACAGGGTTATAGATCAAAGAAATCACAGGCTAAGACATTGTGGTTAGTTGTATAGCATGAAAGCTGAGAACAAGAGATGTAATGGGATAAAGGAAAGGAAAAATGATCAACGGATATGGTTTCCAAACCACTTCCCAATGGGATCTTAGGTGTGTGTGGAAGCGGATCAACAGTTCATCAGTGAGGAAACTAGCAACTTTGAATAAAATCCAGAGCAGGTAGTTGCCCAACCACTATTGTATTTAGGAGGTACTTTGAATTCATGCAGCATAATAATGAGGCCCAGACTGGCATCTCATTGGAAGTGCCTAGAAGATGCCACAGAATTCTCTCCAATGTGTGAGGATTCTATGACAGATGTACAAAGGTACAGACAGATGAACAAAAAGTTTGAAAATATAGATATACGATGTCAGGTGGAGGGAGAGGAAGTGTAGCCAAAGCAGTTGTAGTCACTCATCTGACTAGTCCAGGAAGAATCCTTACCTGCATCTTCTGCAATTTCTTCATCTGCATGTCTATTTCCTTGGTGCTCTTCTCATCCCTGACCTTGAGACCTTCGAAAGCAAATTTACGATCCTCTGTGGCCTCTGTGTAGTTACGTAAAGCCTGCTGAAAGCGCTTCCACAGCTCTTCCACTTTTCCTTCTAACTGCATGCGCAGGTAATGTTTCTCCTCCAAGTTCTACAGGAAATGAAAATGGGTCAACACTCCCCCAGTCCCTTCCCTGCCAGCTTTAGAGTTCTTCAACCACCTGGCTCTTTTTATCTGTCTGGCCAGGTAACCTTCTCAAGGAAAAATCAGCTTCCTTGCAGACACAACAAGAAAATATTCTCAGTTCATTTGTTTGCTTGTTTCAGAACTTCCTGTTAGCAGAACTCTTACTCCTTGTGATGCAGTTCAAGAACTGGAAATAAGGACAGCATCCATAATGAGTTAACCAGTCTGGATTCCCAAACTGCTAGCATATTTCATACTCCCTCAACTTTAGCTCATGACTCATGTTATACCCCACATTACTGAGAAGAGAGAGAAAAGAATACAGAGCAGAAATGACTCCATGTTATATAATGCTTTGGTTCCCAAAACACACTAAGTCCTTTGTTTGATTTTGGTTTGGCATGCTGTGAGAATTTGGTCAATACAGTTTGTAGCATATGGTTTAGCATATGGTTTAGTGTTGTGTGAACATGCCTAATAGTAGTTTTTTTCAATACATCATGGTTAAACAAACTGTTAAACAACAGTTCAGCTACAAAATTCAACTATACAGTATGTTCATGAAATAACAGAAAGATTGTTGAGTGTCCTCCAAGTAGTTTCATTACACAAGCCTGGTTCAACATAGTCTGTTTTGTTTAACTGAATAAGCCATAATCTTTATTTAATTGAAGGTGCCATAATTAGTTAGGTTCACACATGTTAAGCCACAAACTACAGTTTACATCAGCTGGATTCATACAACACACTAAACCAGAACCATGCAAACCACACCATGGCTTAGTTTAATGTGTGAACCCAGCCAGTCTGTCATAGCCTGGAGTTTAGTGTATCCGTAACTATGATTACAATGCACTAGAGAAAGAACAGCCTAGCAGATAATGTAGAAGGTGAGTATTAATAAGCAAGAGACAACACACACTGTGGCTAAAGTAGGTAGTGATGCCTGGTATCACACACCTGATGTGTTTAGAACCTTGATAGGAAGTCCTGGGTTGATTACTGCCAAACAATTCCTCGTACTTCCTACCAGCATCTTCCTTTTAAAATCAACATATCAATATATAACAGAAATATAAATCTGAGTAATGCTAACAGCCATAATACCCAAGAAAAAAGAGTATTGTTTCATAGATAATGAATGGCACATCAATGTGCCATTACAGTTTGCTAAAGAAAAAATTAAGGGCCATAATATTGCTAAAACCTGCATGTAAAGATTTTTTTCTGCAGATTCATCTGTCTGCTCTAAAATGTGATCAGTTTCCCCTGTTCATCAGCAAATATAAAGATATCATAAGGTTTGCTCCCATATCTTAACTCACACCTTATTCTTGACATCATCTCGTGTACTTTGGAAGTCAAGTCTGGCTTCGTATTCATTTTCAGCAAAGTTTTGCTCCATAGCTAACGATACATCCTGCAGGTAGCGGCCCTCCTCATCATGATGTGCTATGATTAACTTCCTGGCAGAAATGGAAACAGTCCTATGAGCATCAAACGTTCCACTAATCAAGGTCCCATGGCTGCCAAATCATCGTTCCAACCCTTTATCCTTTCTTTGCCCACATTCCTACCTCTCTGCGTCAAACTCCTTCTGCAGCGCCTGCAGCTCTGTCTGGTAATCCTCCTCTAAATAGCCCAGACGGCAATTCTGGAGTTTCAACAGTTGATCTATGTTGTGTAAGTGGCTGCGCAGGGCATGGGTGTACTGAGCTTCTGCTTCAGCTAGGTCCTTAGCAAGGGACTGGGAGACAGAGAAAAACCATACAGTCAGGACAAAAGGCAGGTTTTAAATACAGCTATGGCATTCAGCACTTTAAAAAAAGAGCCAGAAATCTATTTTTTTTAAAGGTGGTCATTTGAAATCAATTATATCAGGCAGGCAAATGTACATAAAGCTGTTATCTGATTCTTTTGCTGATCTGCCCTGACATTCCACTAACAATTTAGATCTCTAAGTTGCTGGAACTCTTTTCTTCAGCTCTCCATACTGATAATACTACTAAAGAAGTAGTAGTACAAGCTACATTATCTGTCAGTGTAGTTGAAAATGTGATGGCTACCCACTAAAGCTCTGAACATGTTGGAATTATATTATTTTCAACAACCCATCAGAGGGCCTTCTTAAATGCCACTATTAAGATGGGTTATGTTGATGGTCACCAGCTTTCCGATAGTACTCCCAGAGTGATGGCATCCTCTCCTACTGACCTGTGCCTTGCTTCTTTCCATGGCTTCTTCCTGAGGAGCATCACACTGGCTCCTGGCGCTGAGCTTGTGTGGCAGCTCCACACAGCCTGAGTGCTGCACTTCCTGTGCCCTTTCTACTTTTGGCAGAGAGGACCAAGCCTCATAATGGGAGGATAGTGCACTATGCAGTTTGGAGAAACTGGGCATACCTTATAATTAAACATGGGATAGATGGGAGGGAACAAGTACTATAGCTGGTCTTCTGTGCTTTAGAATGCAGAGAATAGAAGCAAGCTGTTTTATTACATATCTTGCTTTTAGGTGAGATAAAAAGGAGTTCAGGGAAGCGTCTTAAAGTAATCCTGTGTGTTTGCTAACATACTGTTATATCATTAAATCTTCCCCTTCCTCATTGTATACAATTATCTGAGGGTGCATCCCTGAAAGTAGACTAAAATATATAAAATAAATCAGTAAATACTGCACAAGATGGTACCAACTGAGAACAACTTTTTCTTGAATAAAGATATGTTCTCACAGTTCGTATTCTTTTTGCATAATGCCATATGGCCAGACAGAGTTTTACAAGTTGCTTTCTACTCTTCCCCCCCACCTTTTCTCTAAGAATATCCCCAACTGCTTTATACAGTCTTCTTCCATGGACTTTTAGAGACTGGGGCTCACCTTAATGACACTGTCTTTGCAATCTACAACACGTTCAAATGTCTGACTGAGAATCTCAATGTCTTTACGCAGTTCCCTGGCCTTGACTTCGCGGAGAACGGTCCGCCATTGCAAGTTGATCTTATGCATGTTCACAACGCTGTTGCGTTCCTCCTTGGCCAACTTGTCCTGAAATGCAGAGAAGAGTTTGAGGGCATATCAGAAGCTGCAAGGGGAAAGTGTAAATAATCCCCCTCAGCGGAATTATATCACCCTAACAGTTGTTTTCAATGTTAGATATTATTCTGGTCCAAATATTACTCCACTGATTGAACATTTCAAGCTCCCTGTGAATGGGGCTGGGGTTTTCCAGTAAATACTGACTGGCAGCATTATATGCCCTTCCTTGTCTTATGTATATGCCTCTGAACCACTAGCCTATTCCTAATCTTTTTTTTTTTTAACAGCAAGAGAAATTCATTACTATACAATCACCTCTTATTCAATCAACCTCACTAGTTTGAAGCTCTGTCACAGACTGATCAAAACCTGAGGTCCAAGAATATAGTATAAAGATGTTGTTCATTTGCTTTGTATTCAGTATTTAAAACATTAGTATAACACATTCCAGACTAAAAGATACTCTTCTATCATTCATTAATAACATATCTAGTATTTTATGATTCATTCTATTCACATTTGAAAATAATTCTCTGCTTCAATTGGAACATAAAGAGAACTCTGTCACATGAATTTTGATTTTGAGTATGTTTATATATCTAATACAAATACTATTTCTATATTTTAAAGTCATCATTCACATTTGATAGAGTACAGCACATTTTGCTGGCCCTACAGTCCTCTCCTTAGAGCAGAGTACACCTCCCTTATTTTTGGCTTCATTGTAGCACAGTGTTCCTTACTTTTTTGAGTACCAAGTAGTACCTTTAGAAATTGGATCAGCATGTCCTCCTTCTTCTTATTCATTTCCTCCTCAGCCAGCAGTTTTTGTTGCATCATAAGCAACCGTTCTTCTTCAGTCAGTGCAGCCCGTTTGGGTCCCTTCTTTTTCGGCATGGTTATATCTAGAAGATGAAGAGAACTATCAAAAGGAGGAAAAACCCAAGTTAACCAATAAAGTTGATCTAAAGCAGTTTTCCCAATATTTTGCCTTCCAGATGCATCAGATTACACTCCTATCATTTTCTCTGAGTTGGGCATATCCTGTCTAAAGATTATGGGAATTGTTAAGCTAACACTTCTGGAAAGCACTAAGTTGAGAAATCCCATTTTAAGCTGATACAGCTCTGATTGCTAAACCAAGTTACTCCTTTACATCTCTAAATTCAATGACTATATTATTCATCCCTTTAATCCAGTCTGCTTACCATTCTTTATTTATAATTATCCTCACTTTTTTCCAAAATATTTAGATGTAGTATATGATTTTCCCCAACCCATCCTTTCATCCTCATAACCCTGTGAGGAAGCTCAGGCTAAGAAACAATACCTGCAGAAAGACAGCAATGAGCTTTGCAGATGAGCTAGGATTCAAGGCTATTTCCCAAATGCTAAGTTACCTCCTTTATGAACTACTGTAACACAGTGTAACTTGAACACATGAGAAGCATCAGCTGGTCAGGGATGTTTTGGCCATATTATTGAATGGAACCAATTTTAAGAATGTGTGACTTTGCAGTATTGTTACAATTGCTTCTTTGAGTGTCAAAGAAGCCCTATCCACAACTCAAAGTTCTACTGATGATTTATAAGAAGTGGGCCCTGGATACTTGAAATATCATGTTCTCCGATACAAACTTTTCCAGGCTTTACAACTGAAACTCTCTCAGTCCCAGTGATATCAGAGGCAGTTTAGCGAAGAATACAAAATAATGCCTTCTGCATGGATGCTTCATATTTTGAAATTCCCTACCGAAGAAATGCAATCTAATGTTCCCCTTCCTGTATTTCCAATAGCAGGCAAATATGTTTTTATTTAGGCAGATGTGTTCACTACATTAAGTGCCATTTTTGGGCAGAAAAAGGGTGTACAAATTCAATAAATACATAAAACAAATACATTTACTTTTTCCTATTTTCCCTTCCATTATCTAAATTCTGTCACTATGGTCCTTAGATCACATTTTTGAAGCCTGAAGCCACAAAGCCAGACCTCTGTTTCTCACATGCAAGCCTTGATGGCTTTTCCACACCCACTTCCATTGCCGCACCACAGCTCTAAAACCTTGTGAGGAACAAGCCTGATGAGACCCAGACTGGGAACACTAACTGGAAGGCAGGGAGGAAACCATCCCTGAGCCTGGAGTATCAAATGATCAAAAGCAGACTACATATGTCATGATGAGCTGGCTTGACAGTTCTTTGTGGAGATTCCCATTCCCAAGAGGTTGCCACGAACCTTACAGCCAGAAGTTCTACGCCTTTTTACATTAATGCCAGGAATTGAAAACAAGTGGTGAAACTTGACCTTGGACTTGAGTTAAGTGCCAATTGCTATTTATGTTGAACTTTAATTGGCATGAAATGCTTCACATAAGGCCTCTTCCAATTAAAATAATAATCCACTCTCAAAGGAAGCTGCCTGTTGCCCTACTACAGGGGCCAGCACTCCAGGCTCCCCTTCTAAACAGAGGCATGCCAAGACTCATGCTGAAACACAAGGCTGGTTCAGGAATAAAACCTGTCTCAGATGTAGATGTTCAGACCAAAGAAAACTGGTTTCCGCCTTTCAAAAATCCTCTTTCCATCACCATCCCATAATAGGAACGGACTCTGGAGCAGTGGCACTCCCTCCCTCCCCAAACACAGACTTAGAATTTTCCTCTACAAACTGGCACCGACCTTTTCACCAAAAGAGCTTTTTTCTTAAGATTTTCTTTAATCCCTTTATTATTTTGATAAATAAGACGGCGAACATATCTAACACTCCTTCCTCCTCCTATTTTCCCCACAACAACCCTGTGTGGTGAGATGACTTTCATGCCTAAGGCGGGACTAGAACTCACAGATCTTTTGGTTTCTGACCTGGTGCCTGACCACTAGACCAAACTGGCTTGGTTTAAAAAATAAAAATAATTTTTAAAAAACTGGCTCGTGTGTTATTTATTCCGGGCCTCCTGTTCTCCTCGCCCCACCATATACCTCTCCTCGAGCGCGTCGCTGCTCCAGGCTGAGTCTTCCCAGTCTCCTAGCAACGGCCCCTTCCCGGGCAGGCAGCGGGGAGGCGTTCCGGCGCCACAGCGCCCCCTCGTTGGGCTGCCCAGTAGGACGGGCTTAAGAGAGCGCGCCGA